GGGTTTGTATGCCTTTTTAAAATACCTGGGCTAAATATCTATCAACTCAGGTACTCAGAAACAGAAACAATGAAAATCAGAGGCTGCACTACAGTGCTGTGTCGTAACCGCTACAGAAGTAAAACAGTGATAGTCTTGGGAAATGGCCAGTTTTCAGCCTTTCAGAAAGAAATATACTTGACTGACTCTTTAACGTTACATTGTCATATTTTAAATGGCAATGAACTGCCATCAGTGACGTTCTCAGAATCAGTTGTTCGTAATCCAGCAATTAAAGAAGAGACATTTGAAAAAGATATAACATGAAACAGATGGACACACATTTTCATTTATTTAATTCATGCTGCTTTTTGATGTTTCTCAGATAGCTTATGCCCGCGTATTCCTTTCTCCTCCTCTTCCCTCTTATTTTTGTCTCCTTTTTTCTCTCTCTTCACACCCTGACATCCTCAACTGCAGTCCCAAAAGACAGAGCCTACGCTGCCAACTCATACTGGCACTCCTTCCAAGAACGGAAGCAAAGGGACACAGGGGACCACTTTCATTCTACCATCATTAGTAACGCAATAGAATAAAACCTTTATATATGGGAAACATGTACACATTCCATAAAGAATATATGCACAAAACCTTCATCTTCAGACCAAATTAGCCTCAACAGTCTTGTTTGTAGTTCTTACTCAGAATAAAAAGCATCTTCCAAATCCACCACCAATTTTATGGTGTGTGGACACCACCATAAAAATCCCCTTTTTTCCCCCGAGAAAAAAAGGGAAGGTAAGAAATAAACCCCCAAAATATATATGTGTCTTTGCAAGGAGAAGGGAAGGAGGATATATTTTATCTGTGTCTGCTGGCCTGGAAAATAAATACTGCTGTTGTGCAACTCTGCAGCTGCTCACTCTCTCAGTTTGTTGTTTTCATTCTGGTTTTTATGATTTAATCTCATATCCTTAGAGTTAATCTGAAAAGGGTTCAGGCAGCTTTATTCATTAGTCTTGCTTCAAATCATGATCTCACAGATCATGATCTTTACAGATACCAAGAACCAATTCTCTTTTTCTGACATGGCTCACCCTGATAGATGCAGCAATAATAAAATGACTCACAAAACTTGAAAACAAACTCACAATATTTTCACTCAGTTTTTTGCATTGAAGCTCATGAAAAAATATCCTTGAGGAGAGCTTTTCTTACACTAATAGAATGTATGACAAACACATACTGTAAATTCAAAGTTAACATTTTCAAACTTTGGAAAGCATTTTGGATTCATACAGGATGGATGAGGGGAAAAAAAAAAAAACCACAAAACAAACCACTTAATGATTCACATCTACCTCAACTACACAGCATCATTTCAGATAGGTATTAGATCAGAAATAATCATAATAGTCATAACCTTTCACTGAGAAGACTCATGGGTTGTTTCCTACTTCAAGAGAGCTATTGCTTAAAAAGGATTGTAAAATGCCACATATCTAGAAAAGAGGTTTCTGAAGCAGTATCTCTGGAATGTCACAAAATATTTACAATTTAAAACACTGAATTCATACGTGGAAAAGGGCTGAAATGGCTTTGCAATGGATCCTACCAAGAGCAAGAAAAATAATGATTTTACAACTCAAGCATGACAACACCACCCAAATATCTAACAATTCAGGCAAACAGAATGACACAGAAAACCCATTGTATCAGCATTAAGGTTCCCTGTTCCCCAGTTTTTATTATTAGGATGTTGTACACATTTTAATAAGACAGCATAAACATTTGCTTTGACTTAGGCTTTGGAATGAAGAAATCAACCATTTCACAAGCTGATTGCCTGTTACAAAATGACTGAATAAAGATTATGTCTATTCAAATAATTTTGCTGCCAGAAAGGAAACAATGTATTGAATCATGAGTATAGGTCTTGGGAACTATAGACTACGTGAATGTTTTTGATCAAAATAAGAAAGTACTCTTGTATAATCCAAAATTTATGTGAAATTGGATAGTACAAATCAAAGAACTGCAGTGCATACAGCCATAAATCTACCATCTGTGCACAGCAGACCTCAAAATGGACCTTCTGAGTCTGTGGATTACATAGGGTAATATTTTGCATTTCTTTGATTCACATCATTTAGCAGTTTTCGGGGAGTCTAGCATTACACTACATCATCATTCATACTCTGCTCACAAGGTTAAGCCTGTGAAAACGACTACATATGCTTACTTCTCAACTGCCCTTAGCGTAAAATCTCCATGTGATACAAATTATGCTAGTCTCACCTCAAACAATGTCAAATATAACATGATTGATTACTGCGAGTGAACTAACACTGGATCCTACAGTGTGCCCCTGCCTCTGCCTTCTCCATGGGTTTACTACACAGAAAGCAGTAAAAGCTCTGTAAGGCAGATTATAAATATTGGATATGAACTAGAAAAATATTTAATAATGGAAAACTTTTCTGCTGGTAGTAAGTACAACTTGCTCCTGAATAGTTTTTGAATTCTCTTTTCTTTTATAACGGATCCGATGCAAGAAATACATCCTTGGAGAACATGCAGTCCAAAATCATCCTGGACTTCTTTAAGACAACAAATTTCTGATCAGTCAAAGCATATCTACAGTCAAGTATCTATCTGCCTGTCTGAACAGTCTGGAATCTATTGATTGCAAATGGGACTGTTGCATACATCAGGGGAACAGAATACTACAATACTAATGACTGAAACAATGAATAATATATTAATGAAGAATAATACTAGTAAAGAAAACAGGAAAAAAATATGGTGAGTACTACTCAAGAATGGAAAACTAAAAAAGCACAATCAAAAATGACATAGTGAGAAATGAGACAGAAATGGCATTCATGTCCTTGAAATTCAAGGAGTGAATATTGCCCTTTACTCTGTGACCAACTTGTCTCCAGATGACCAAGACAAGATACATGATACTTGATATAAAGAACTACTAAGTAATGATTACTGCAACATCAAAGGAAGCTGGAAATGTTCCTTTGCAAACTTTGATATTCTATTTGAATAGTAAGAACTCAAGTAATTGTAAGCCTTCCCAATATTATTGCTGAGAATAGAAATGGCACCACAGCATATATAGGTCCAAACTTAAAGCCTATACCCATCCTTGAATTCTGGCGTAGCCTCTCTCGGAGATGCTGATGTTATCCTCTAAAAGCCCATTTGACCAGTCAGACACTGATTGGGCATCAAGGAGGAGTCTTTTTCACTATCGCCAGCAAAGGAAAGACAGTTAATGTGAGGAACATTAGGGCAGAAAATTTCAGGAGACCTTCTAACCTTCAATAGCATGTACTACATATATCATAAATATATTCTGAGCACACTTGCATATGTTAATTAAGGAACGCTAGTATTAGTACCCAAATAAAACAGGAAGAGGATAATAACTGAAAAAACAATCAGGATTTAAACAATATGTTGAGTAGAAGTAATCACAATCAGCAAAATGGTTCTGATTTCAGGCACAAAGTCTATATTCTTCCTGTTGGTAAATGTTACTTTCTACTGTCCATGTTTATCATAGAACTCTGCTTAGGGTAAATATATGTTACATACCTGAACTACATATTTATTTGTATATCCCTCTCTCCCTCTCTCTTTTTGCATGTATATAATACAAAAACACTTTCAGAGTTAAATTATTGCTGAGGGTTTTTTTATCATCACATTACGTATGATACCACGTTCCTGGGAAAATTAAGGGAAAATTAAAGAGAATTAGTCTCTCTCTCCTACTCCTTGGCATCAAGCTAAGCTGCCAGCTGTATTTCTCAGAGACCATGCATATATAACTGAGGAGCGCTCAGAGCCACTAAGTACAGAACCCATCAGCTGAAATCAGAGCGAAGGGCAACAGGCAGAATAAGTTAAACAAAAAGGGTTAGATTAACTACATTCCATTTGTTCCCAAATAATACCAAAAATAGGAAATAAAATATGGTGGAATACAAGAGGTGAGGGAAAAGGAAATCAGTTTTAATTATATTAGCCGTAAAAGATATTACAGCTGTCTATCTTGTAAATATTGTAACGAGGTCATCACTGGGCAGCAGAGGAAGGCTGCTAGATTATACCACCCTGGCTGACAATTTCCAATACAGGTGGAGGTCTCTGGAGAGAGAGGGGATCATTTCCATGGAAACACATGAGCAAGCTCCCTCTCTCCTTTCCCTTCCCACCATATTTAAAGTTCTATTCTGGTCTTGCTTAGAAAGAAATTAAATTTATTCAACGAAATGAATTTTACTCTTGCTTTCCAGTAAAACATAGTGGTAGAGGCTGAACACCTTCTGGTGACTTTTGGTACAATCTAGAAAAAGGGAGGGAAGTTCCAGCTCCAACCTCTGACTAAACTAGGTCTTACTACATCAGCACTGAAACAGCCACAGTTTCAACCAACGCCAAGTAACACTGAGACAAACCAGTGAAGAAATTTTTTTCATACTCATGACAATAACTAACAGCAAGAAACTGAGAAACCATGAAAAGATTCAGGTCATCACGCAAAGATTTCACCATCTTCAATACTATATACTGGAAGTACTACCAGATGTCTTAATTTGGTAGTCTGAACAGCCACCATCCTCCATGAACCTGCCCTTTTGAGCCCTGTTTTGTATTACTAAAATTGTGCTGTTAAGCTAGTGGCCACAAAAGAAATATGGCAACATTGTGTACAGCACAATGACTATGATTCAACAAAGCTGCGAGCACATGGACAAGCTCTGTCACGCTGCAACTGTCATTTTCCATATTGCACTTTTAATGAGAAGGAATGAAGAATACACATTGCCCATGACCATCTGAGTATAATGAGAAACTCCTCAGCTGCTGCTTCTTAGGATTGTCTCAAAAAGCCCAGTATGTATTTTATAGGCTACAGAATAAACTTAAAAAAGATAAAATAAAATTTGTACCATAAATTCAGCAGATCTTACCCGTACAAACACTAAATACTTTCTTACCTGTCTGATGTTGTGTCACTTGTTACTTGATGCTTTACTCCCGAACCATTCTTAATTGAGTCTTGTCTTGTGAGCCCTTGAGATCTACTTTTGTCCAAAACTTGTGTGGATACGTCACCTGATGGTCCCTGGTACTGTGAATGCTCCTGCAGCTTTGCTTTTTTCTCTTGAGGTGCTTCCTCACTCCGCAGACCTCTAATACCTTCTTGGTCAGGCTGCTGTGGTGCATTCGATCCACTGTTATAGAACCAGGCTCCTGATTTTGTGAGGATTTCTTGTTGTTTTCGGCACAAGTTACATACCCACATTACCTGTTCAGACATATTGAAATGGAAAATCTGTTAGCTTGTAAACACCATATACAAAGTTCTCATCAAGCACACATCAACCGACTGTTGCCATTTCCAAAGATAGAAAGAACACTATTTTAATTCTTTCTATTAAAATTACAATAGTTTAGCCACAGCACAATAAAATATGTCCGTACAACCTTGGAGGAAATTGTTTTAGAAAAAAATTACAAACACAAAAATACTTTTATTTTACTTTTGCTTCATCATTTATAACACAAGGGAAGACCACAGACCGTGTCAATACAAATGAAAAGGTTCTACATATTAATATTCCAATGGCAGCAAGTGTAAGATTTGAAAATGAAGACTACAGGTTTAGGATGATAGAAAAAAAGGAACAAAAAATTAATTAAACTTTTAATCCATTCTCTTACTAAGTCAGAGTCAGGAACTTTGGAACAGATCCTCTCTGTTGCAAGCAAGTAGTTTTGTGTTCCAGAATGTTTTGCTGATTTAATTCAGTGGTGGTCTGTATCTAATATTTACATGAAGAAGATAGCTTCATGAAGTGACTTGATTTTCAAAGCTATTGTAAATTAAAGCCATTTTATAAAGTAACGCAATACATAAAGTGGCGTCTCCACTTTATAGCCAAGATTTAGCTTTCACTGTATGCTTACTAAATTATTAAAATTACAGCTTCCCAATTGTGAGATCCTGCCCGTAGTAATGAGATTTTTTAATATTCTAAAATATACTTGCTTGCAAAGCTTTTGTATCTGATCACCTTAGTCACATGGCAGTGCAGGAAATTGCCAATGCCAATTATCTGCAAGTTAATTTCACATTCAGTTCTTATGTTATATGAGACCAGTTATTAATACAATGGCACATTCAAACTGGTTTGAATTTGAATTGTAGATACCATTAATTCACCACAAGTTTTGTCCTTCACTCCTTAATCTTCATTTTTCTTTAGCCTTAACTCGGCTCTTCCGTTCTTTATATATTCTTAGCTCACAGACAAAATTGTACCATTTTTACCTCACATTCCTAAAATGTCTACATTCAGCCTTCAATCTAGTTGTCATGCCTCCAGTTCTAATCCTACAGCTAGCTGCCTCTTTTTCAAGGGTTTACAGTACAGGACATTCAAAGGCTTACATTAATGCTCTTCATTATTTTTTTAAATGCAGCTAGCTCAATGGTTGAATCATATGAAAAATGCAGTTTCCACCTCCACAGTACATGTAGCTCAGTCCACCAGAAAAGATTTCAGAAGCTGCAATCTGTAGCTTACTTTTGTTCTCCAGGTGGTTATCTAATAGAAAATTTGAGCCACGCTGTTTAGTCAAGTCTCACCAAAAGTGTTTTGATGAAAACTTCATATAAAAGGCTACTTGGATGCAAGGTTCGCACTCAAATTAAACTCACTGACTGCCTCATTCACAAACTGCCAGGTTGGGGCAGGAGAAGGAGGCATGACTTGCTCACTTAATGGCAATATTCCCCATCTTGGTAAACTTCCTGCTTAACTTTTTTTAGTGCTGATACTCCATCTGTGAGAATTCATGCCTTCTTATTTCAATAATCCAGAACAAACTATCAAAGCACTGAGGGTAAAAAAGAGAGACTCCCTGAGCAGCAGCTTGGTGTCTGAAGTAGGTTAGATGTCTTGAGAACAAAGGTCAATACTGTGTATGCTTCAGGCCTGGCCATCATTCCAATACAAATTAAAGAACAGGTTTGTTTTACCTTTCCTAATTGAGTTAGAAAGTACATGAAAGCTCCAAACTGAAATTTCAGTGACAAAGACAGAAGTATTTTTTTCCCCTCTTTAATCAATAGCAATTAAAAGCCTTCAATATTTCTGCTTGGTTTGTACACAGCTGAAAGAAGTTTTAAACTTTCCATACATGTGTCAGTGCAACGAAAGGACCAAATCTGAAACAACTGTTTCAGTATACAAATAAATACTAATTTGAATGACTACAAGATAAAATCCCCTAAAGTTTTTGTGTGCTATTTTTCCTTCCATTCGTAGATGTTAAAATGTCACAAAAAATAGATACCACAGTCTAAACACTCGAGCAATGATGTCCTTGGCTGACAGCCACATTTTGTCCCAGGACAATGCTCCATCAGGATTATTCTCTTGTACCCAACAGAATAAGAGGTACTTCTGAATGAATATGATTTAATACCTCCTCCCCTAAAAGCAGAATCAGGAAGGGTACTGCTGATCTAACCTCTTCCTTCCCCTGACACACAAAATTTAGCTATCTGTTTCAACATAATCTCAGCCTTTGCCAAACTGGGTAGATGATGATGTAAGGCAGAACACATCAATGCAATTGTCAGTGCCGTGAGGCCCATATGGAATGAGCAAAGATTTTATGACAAAAGTTCAATCAAACCCAGTCACTGATTAAAGATGCTAAGCCTGTCTTCATTGTCGCTATCTACTATATCATCTCGTATGTTACTTCCATCTCTAGAGCCTGGAAACTGTTTTTCACTGACTGTCAGTGACACTTCAAGGAAGACATCATATTACTTCCCAGGTCCTACTGAACTTAAACTGGTTCCAACTGTTTCCACTGTACAATGCTTCTTACAGACTACCAAAGTAATTGGGTTAGACCCTCAGGAAACAATAGGAGCACTTAAACCTGAAGTACCTCATGAAAGAAAGATTTTTTTTTTTAAAAAAAGAGGATCTACTTAAGATATTTCACATTGAAAAAAATACAAACACACAGCACGAAAAATGCATATATTTATGTATTTTGCAATTTTTTTCTGCTTTTCTAAGACTGTTTCATATATTTATAGCTAACACTTCTGATATGACTTTATTTCCAATGTACTTTCAACATGTAGACTTCCATAGTGTTGACCCAAGCAGTTACAAATTTAGCTACAAATAATCACATACAAGGAGCAGAATGGCAACTCTCACACACACATAGAAACTTAATGTGCTTTCAGTGAGCACCAAGAACTTCAAGCCCTTGCTTAGTGCAAGGCTAAACTCACTTCTCCATCTTATCATAGCATGTAGAAGCATTCTTGAAATTTAAAAAATATTTACAGTATTTTACAGTGCAGATCTCTCAGATGACAGACACACATGTAAGGTAGTGTCATAAGAGCACAGACAGAAATGTGGCATATTCCTGGACAGGATTTCTCCCTCTGCCCCCAGCTGCCTGCGACAGAGTAGGTCACACACACACAGAACAGCCCTGTCCCTGCCAAGTCCCCACCAGGACAGAGTATTTCGTGTGACTGTGACAGCAGCACAGCAGAGGAGGAAAGGGGACACTCCACGAGTGGATTGCATGCTTAATACATGCATTCTGACATATCTGCAAAGAAGAACCACAGAAGTATCCCTTCTAAAAAGGGCTAATCCCTTACATCAGAAACCTGCACTCTAAAGGAGGCATGCCACCTACCACTCCCATTTTCAAATCTCCTAACCACCACTCTGAAGAGTTCAACAGTTATGAACACATTTTGTACATGAGCATCAGTGTTGCAGTTCGTGGGTGTCAGTTCTTCTCATCATGGGAACACTGACAATTTGAAAAGGAAAAAATGGACAAAAATCTGCCTTCCAACATCTCAAATTATAATTTAAGTACAAGTTTCAAACTAGAATCTGAGGTACTCGATGCACTGTACCGAGACGTGCATTTCAGTATAAAAGGCTGAAACACCACCTAGTGCCTAGGATAAGAACTGCTGAAGTTCTTTTCAAATAAATTTCTCCTGTAGTGTGAAAATAACCACACAAAATATATCTAGCCTGACATTTTCACATCAACTCTTAATTTAATTTCGTTTTTTAAGACAAATTCCTTTTTTTATACAACACTGAAAAAAAGTATTCTGAACTTGGATTAGATAGATTTACCTCAAACTTCCATGTGCTTTCCATTCACAGAGATTAATTCCATACATGGAACAAAAAAGTTCTAACTCATTTTGGATTTCTTCACCATTTTTTTACAAGATTATTCATATTATGCTCTCACTTCTGCTAACACAGCCCAAAAGCTTTCATCACGTAATATTAGCACTTTTTATTACATAAGCCCATAAAAGCAAATTCTACAATAATCAGCCATTTCACATCTACACATTAGACATAATTAATGTACTAAAAATCACTCCTCTGTATTGTCCTAAATAAAACATTACAAATTTATCTATTAGATTAAATTCTTCAAAACACATTTCACATGCCACTTTAAATTCAATAAAGTGGAAAACTTATTTATAAAGAAATTACATCTGCAGACATTTTAAAGCAAAAAGTATATCATTTAATACAAAGGATATAGTATGACAATCATTTTAGTATTTTCAGATAAATTATGTGGAAAGACAGCTACCTTACAAAATACTATTCACTGTTCCCCTAAGTGTAATTATAGGTGGACTAACACTAACTTCTAAGAACTAAATAGAAATCTTACCTTATTTAAGATTAGATTAAAAGGCACAGTATGTTTGATTACATATCAGCCTGAGTTTGATAGCTTAGATGCTACAACCTAAGAAATAATTACACCAAATCCTCATCAGCCTTCAGAACATTACTTTGAATTACAGGTGTGCAGAGCTGCTAAATCATACTGGAAGGCTTCCATAGAACAGTAAGGATTATTATTATGGTTTTACCAAATTTCTTAGAGTTCATCTGCTTGGTAGAAGCACCTAGCATATTAGCATATATTAACTGTTGTGCTTGCTGCTAGTGTTCATCAGAAAATTTCACTTGATTTAAATATATACTTATATTAATTTTTTGTGCTCGTATTTTATGTCAGATACAATTCCTTAATCATTATACAAGGTAACAAGAATGCAGCATTGAAAGGAAGGGGGAGAAAAATAGAAGAGCAGGAAAACTCTTTCCTTGGGCCCAGCATCAGGGTAGCTAATCATACTACAATTAGTCCCCTTTTTTTTTTCCCCAGTCTGCACAGTTGCAAAACAACTTCATT